AGCAAGAAAAGAAAAAACCCCACAAAACCAAAAAAAAAAACCCACAAAAAACCCACCCGAGGTCTCCGGTGCGCGCTTTCAGCAGGCAGGGGGATTAAAAATAGCTGGTGGAGCTGGAAATCGGAGGCAGCATTCCTTCCCTAATGAGTGTAATTAGCGGAGCGGGGATGCGAGCGTGTTTCCCTGGCTGTTCCCTGCGTCTTTGCCTGTCTCCCAGCGCCAGCCTGCCTGTGCTCTTCCACAGGCTTTTGGGAAACGCTTTCCCGCTTCCAGGAGCAGCCGGGGCAGGAGCTGTCCTTGGGAGCAGCTCTCGACATGCACTTCAGCCGCCTTAAGCTCTCCCTCCACCTCTGTCTCAAACGAGAGGGGTTCAGACAGGATTAAATCCCAAACACACATCCCGAGTCCTCCGGGGCTTGGCAAAGCAAAGCAAAGACAAGTCGGATTTGGGAACTTTTTTTTTTTTTTTTTCTTCTTTTCCTCCCGCAGCTCATTGCTACCCATCCACTTTAGCTCTCCTAAATCCCGAGCTGTCAGTGTAACAACGGGTGATTCAGTGGGGATTTAGCCAGGCTTGGGCGCCGGATCCTCCTCCCGTGGCAGCGCCCGACCCGGCATGAGCACGGCATTACCTCACCTTCCACCGGGCTGCTCCCCGTGGGGACACAGGAGGTCCCTTTTGGGGGGACAAGGACCCTCCCTGCTCTCTGCCCTGTGAGCAACCCCCTAAACGACCCCTTAAATCCGATTCTAACCGTTAATTTTGGCCGCGGCGATGGAGGTGAGACCTGTGACGGGAGGAGTTCGGAGCAGGGTCCATCCTGCACATCCTTCCCCTGAACAGGGATGGGGCTACAGATGAGGGCAACACCCTGGGAGGTGTGTTGGGCAGCTCGTTAACTGCTGGGCCTAATGAGCTGCTTGGCTGGGTTGTCCACACGGGGAGGGTCTGGATGGGGTGATATGTTGGATCTGGAGCAGGCCAGGCACAGTCAGGGGGGGCTGTGCTGCCCCTCAGCATCTGCTCCAGCTCTGACATTGTGCTCACTTGGGCTTCTTTTTTTTTTTAATTGTCTTGATGTCCCTCATTTGCATAATCCCCAGAATGCAGCGCAGCAGGACTTTTGCTCTGAGCTAATAAATAGATGACAAAAATAAATGTGTCATGTAAGATTTGCTTCCGTTTTCTTGCCTTTGTGAGTGAGCTCCCACCAAGGGATGGTGCTCGGGGGGTTGATCTCCCAGGAACTGTCAGCCCGGCCTGCCACGGGCCACAGCTTTGCCAGATGTTAGGCTGGAGTTGTCTGCTGGGAGCAGGAGGAAAAGGTGGCTGTGGAACACGTGGATGTGCTCCCGGCAACCTGGACCCTCCAAAGATCTTCCCCAAAATGACCCCACTACAAAAATGCCACCCAGGCCACCAAAAAGTTCATCGTTGTGTTCATGCCTTGTTTGCCTCCAGCGACAGGCAGGTGCTTGGGGTGCCTTATTTTTAAAGTATTTAATTCAAAATCACTGAGCACTGTGCTTTCCCCTCCTCCCTAACTCCCTGACCAGCTCTCCTCTCCTGGTGGAGTTGTACTACGTAGGAAATTAGTTCCCTGAGCTGGGAAAAAGAGTAATTGCCCTGCCATGAATATCCAAGTGGACTCATGAGGCCGAAAAGGTGCCATGTGTTTGCTACAGGATTATTTCCCCTTGGTTTTACAAGAATTTATTCATCCCCTCGTAGAACTTGGCTGGAATGCCAGAGATCCCACCCAGAAACAGCCTTAAGAGGCTCTGGGTTTTAACACGTGGGCCGTGGTTATCACTGGCTCTCTGCATCCCTGGAAATCTTTGCTCCACGACTGGGTGTTTTCCCGGGATGGATGCTCAGCTGGAAGTGAGGGAGGTGCCAGGCATTGGGTCAGACCTGGAATGCCAGGTCTGTGAAGTGCTGGGGTTTGGATCTGACAGAGGACAGCACTGAGACTCAGCAGGTTCCTGAAGCAGGGATGGTTCCTTTGCAGAGGTGCTGGTGGCTCTGGAGATCACACCTCGTGCATTCCAGCAGTTGGTACTTCTCTTTCTTCCCACAGCCCCGTGATTCTGGAGGATTCTCAGCTCTGATAGAAAAACACTGTAGCATTTCCAACTGTGCTGTTTGTTGAGAAAAGCCTGAAAACATGAAACCCGAAGGGTAAAGACTACGAGAGAAATACAGACCTGAGAATTGGTGAGCTGAGGTTTTTTTTTTTCTTTTAAACCCCTGTCCAATTTTAAATCACTTTTATGACTGTACATAAGTGCCTTGTGCCATGTGAGTGCTCGAGCCTGGTGTCACAGCAGAGAGGTGGATTCATCACTGCTGGTCAGGCTGCACTGTCCCAAACGCTCAGGTCAGGCTGTGGAAGGAGCTCATCAACCTCACTTGGCATTGAACAGGTCCAGAGATGAGGCTCTGGGCTCAGGAACTGGGCTCACCAGTGGGAGATCTGCCCGTGTGTGGGAGGTGGGATGTGTTTGCAGCAAGCTGGGCTGGCAGCTGGGGTGCCCAGGGCTGCTGGGCTGCCTCAGCCCCGAGGAGGAGACGCACGTGCAGGCGGACACTGGTGGGGGAAGCAAAGGGAGAACAGGAGACACGGAGCAAAGGCAGAGGAGGAGGGAGAGGTGAGATGTGGAGCAAGGCTGGATCGGGACTCTGGCTGTGGTGAGGCCCGGTGGGAGAGCTTTCCACCATGGGAAAAGGAATTCCACCTGCAACAAGCCCTCTCCCAGCTCATCCCAGCAGCAAGGTCTGCACCCCTGACGGTCTGGGCCAGGCTCAGCTGCTCCCCAGCCTGAGCACCAGATCCACGTGGTGGGATGAGACAGTGCAGTGCTGGGACACGGGAAGGCAGAGAACCACGAGGATGGAAAGCAGAGAAAACCAGCAGGAGCAGTGGAAATGAGCTGAGGTACAGGAGGACTGTGGCACATCCCTCCAGGATGCAGAAAATAATTTTCCCTTTCCCCAAAGCACCAGTGAGGGAGGATGGGATCATCCATCTTCATTACATCAGCAGAATAGGCTCTGTCAGGTTACACTGGAAAACCAATCAATATTCCCTGTGGCCTCGCTGGCCACAGTTCCCACCACTCCAGGGGCAGCCACGGGACCAGGGCACACGAGCTTGGGTGCTCAGGCTCTGCTCCCTGGGCAACACCATCCCCATGGGACTGGGGGGGACACAGAGACACCCAATTATTGCCACACACTGTCCACACACTCCTGATCCTTTAAACGAGGTCACACTCTTCCTCATCCAGCTCTCCAGATGTTCCACTTTCCCCTTGTCATAAAATCCCGACACCCGGCCCTGGATTTTTCTGTAGGCAACAGAACAAACCTCCTGCAACAAAACCCCCCGGCAGCACATCTGATCAGGGAGCAAAACTCACCCGGGAAAGATTTATTTTTCCAGTTGCCATCACACAACTCCGCTTGGGTGGCAAACCCAACTCGCACACGGAGCTCGGACACAGAGCAGGGCACTGCCCTCCCCTCCAGGGATCACCCCTGCCCAGGGGGCATCTCCTGGAGATGGGCCCAGCAGCATTCCCACTGTCTGATTGTGAGAAGACAGACCCCTGGAATGGGAGACCCTCAGGGCAGACAGGACCCTGACCACCACATGGATTTTCCCACCACGTGTGTCTGTGGGACCCCCCACAACTGGGGGTCCTCCACTGGAGGTAACTGCCCAGCATCAAGCAGCCCACACACCTGGCCTGGCCCCTCTATGCCCACCCTACAGACCCTTCCTGGGGCAGGAATGGGGGGCTGGAGAGCTCCTCCCTGCCCTGGGGAGCTTCACTCCCTCCGTTTCCAAGGCAGCTCTCAGAGCAGTCGCTCCTGCCTCGTGCCCGGGCTCCTGCTGCAACAAAAGTCTCTCCCAAGGCAAGACAAACCCCATCCATCTTGCTCCCAACGCGGCCACACGACTAAAAATAAGCCAATAAAGCAGCAATCACCTTGGAGCAGCAGCAGCAGCAGCTCTATTACAGCAGAGGAGCCGTGGCAGCTGCGCCCCAACACCCGGCACAGAGCCAGGACCCCAGGAACCCCCCCCTGCCCTGATTTCCACCCTGCCACGGTGGGGTGGTGGTGGGAGCAGCCTGGCAGCACCTGCTGCTGCCCCACAGCCCTGGCTCTGCCTTGCTGGGCTTCTCCTGGCTGCCCCATGGCACCTCTGCCCGTGCTGGGGACGGCTCCAAGCTCCCAGCACTGATCCTGGGGAGCAGGAGAGGGGCTTTGGGACAGAGATGGGCTGAGAGAGCTGGGGCTGTTCAGCCTGGGGAAGAGAAGGTTGTCTGGAGACCTCACAGCACCTGGAGGGGCTGTAAAGAAGCTGGGGAGAGTCTGTTCCTCAGGAACTGGAGTGGCAGGACAAAGAGTAAGGGGTTCAAACTGACAGAGGGGAAATTCAGGTTGGATACAGGGAAGGAATTCTTCCCTGGGAGGGTGGGGAGGCCCTGGCACAGGTTGCCCAGAGAAACTGTGGCTGCCCCATCCCTGGAAGTGTCCAAGGCCGGGTTGGAGCAACCTGGGCTAGTGGGAGGTGTCCCTGCCCATGGCAGGGGGTGGGACTGGATGAGCTTTAAGGTCCCTTCCAACCCAAACCAGTCTGTGATTATTGCAGAGTTTGGGTGACCCCCCAGCACCCCTTTCTGCAGAGAGCTGTGAATAAATCAAATACCTCAACCCCGTGTGTGGATCAGCTTCTTGCACACTGGGTGAAAGAACCCAGATTTGGGACAACACCCCCTCCCTTCCTTTCCGTGAGCCTTCAATGATCTGTTAAGAGTTTTGCTCCTCTCTGCTGTTCCCGCAGCTCTCCCCACCCGGACTGCAGGTCCAGGGACCCAGTTCCTGGAGGTTTTTTGTGTCCCTCTCCCCCCGCAGCTGCCGGCCCCGGGGCAGCTCCAGCCCGGTGTGATGCGCTGGGTGTTTGCATCTGTTTCCGTTGCAAGCGCTCATTTGTCATGTAGATCTCTTGGCATTTTTTTAAAGGGTAGATTAATTTAGGGGAGCTCTCGGATCCAATTTCCCCCGGCAATGGCTCTATTAGGCTGTGCACAGCAGATACAGGCTCCCGTCCTCCTGCTGCTACTGATGGAATTTGATTCCGCGCTGCCAAATCTGCAGGGCTGCAAACACATTCCCACTCCTGATTAATGTGAGTAATTTCTGCTTGAAAGAAGGTTGAAATGAGCAGCCGAGGGGAAGCGAACGGTGAGGGTTCCCCCCAATCCCCCCCTCCCCCGGCGCTCGCTGCTGTTTGCATTTCCCAGCTCGGGAATGGGCGAGCAGATAAACAGACTCGCTGGCCCCGTTTCAGCGCGGCAGAAGGTGCGGGAGGAGCGGGGGGGACACCACGGTGGGACCCTGCGGGGGTGGGCGGAGGGACGA